TCCCATTCCTAACTGTAGGGAAAGTAAAGGATACTATCCTTAAAGACACAACAGTAACACTAGATGTTGTTACCAGCTAAGAAAAAAGTGGCTTACCCAACAAATAACAACATGCATTCTGGTGTATGTTTACAATATTTACCAATCTGAACAACATGGTTAAAACAACATGGTTTTTAGAAATAAATATTTTCCAAATCCTAGAACTGTAAAATTGTATATTACATGCAAGTAGTGGAGATTTTAAAATGCAAAGAAAATCAGTAAAACTGACAAAAAGTTTGATTATTTTGACAGATATTGTGAAACATTTGATATTGTGATCATATTGCTATTTTAAGAATATTTAATTAATTGTGCAGCCCTATTACGGATATAGAAACACATATACATTTATAAACCATCCATACTTTCTAAATTAGAATAATAATTAAGTAGGTGGTTCTTGTCAAATGTTGGCGGTTAAGTTCATTGTCGCAAATCACACTTGAAATATTAATTCAACCCTGCATCGTGCGCTGTTGGGGACTACTTACATTTTTAAGTGCTTGCTAAGTGCAGACATCAATTTTGCAATAGTAGAGATGGGGAACAGCACTGATTTTATGACGCAGTTGCTGACTTGCATCTTGGTACATACTTGCCTAACATGATGAAGCTGACGTCATCTGCTATGTTGAATAATCCTTGGTTGTTACTCAGTTTGTTGCCTCATTGGAGGTTATCGAAGAAAAGGGGGCCTGGCACATGTATAATAACCATGCTGTCAGTTTGATTGAGCAACTTCAGACTTAGCAGCTGAGACACAATACACAATCACTGATTTGCTGTCAGTGCTCTGTTGGCAACAGGAACGTTGATAAGTCCTGTCAAGAAATTGGTAAATTAAGATGTTTCAAAAACGCTTTCAATTTCTCATTCAGAACTAAATCTGCCATTAATCCCTGAAGGATAAAGAAACTTTGAGGGTTGAATAGAGAATGAATTTGACCATCCATTTCTCCCTCTCAGCCTTGGAAAATAGCCTCAGTGCTCCATTGTAAAAACAAATTAAAGTCGAGAGAAAGAGAAAGAAGTTTTCTTTTTTTTTCAGCGTTGACAGTGACGGAACCCCATTTTCCGAGAGCCCGATCAAAGTGGCACCGCGTGTTTGGGATCGCAGTCTGTTCCCTACGGTTCGTGATCATATTGCCTGAACTCTCAGACCTCTTCGTTGCTGGCTCTGTTGCCATTTTCTGCTTTCTGCCAGGCCTGATGCCAGCACCATGGTGCCCTTCACACTCTCCCCTACTGCTTCATCTCCCCTGGCTTTTCTTCTCATCTTTCTCGCCTCCTCAGTACTCCTCTGTCTACCCCCAGACCCGTTGGTGAACATACTCAGACAGACTTCCCTGATGCAGAAGCAGCAGGCTGGGGCTTGTCCCTGCTCTGACTGTCCCACAGCCTGGCAGGGTAATGACGGCAGCAGGGGGGCCGCCTTACTGCCTGCCTGTGTTGCGCTTCATCATTCCTGCCACAGCCCAAGGTTCTCTAATTAAGACACCGACTTGGCCCGGCAGATTATGTAGCAGCTGGATCATTAGCGTAGAGGGTCAAATGGCATGTGTCTCTGTGTAGCGGGTGGAGCGCCTTTCATCAACCCCTGTGTCTGTCAGCTCACCTCCGGTGGCCACCAGAAGGCTCTGACTAGCTCTTCCTCTTCGGTACCCTCATTCACACTGAGCATGGGGGTGAAAAGGTGTGAAAGGGGAGCAAGTTGGTTTGAATGGAAACATCAGGACCACCAAGATTTAACTTTGCTAATGCAATAAATACTTTAACTAATGCAATAAATACTCTGACAGAAGTCTATGAACTGTCAAAAAATAAATCAATGATACGAAACATCAGCTGCAAAGACCCCAAGACGACTTGCATTTTGTCAGTTGAATATCTGCACTTTTTTTATTTAGTGTCATTGAACACCGAACAATGCAGTGGCAACAGCATGATGGGCTGTAAACTAAACAAACTGAGTCTCAAAATGATCAAAAACCACAAAACTGAGTGTAGAAAGCAAAGTCGAATCTTCCACGGTGGTGTCTTTAAATCTTTTGTGTTGTCTGACCAGCAGTACTCTCCAATACCTGTAAAAGGGATTTCTGATACTGGTATCGGTATTGAAACAACTCTGCTTTAGAGAGCCTGGAACCAGAGATTATTGCAGGTTAGGTTCGAATGAGTGACGGCAACTGAAATATGAGATTTCCTATAATGTGCTCGGAATCTGTCAAACTACGACGTGTATTGAAGTTGTGGTGGTTGTTAGGTCGTACATCCTAATAATTTCACCTGCGATTAGTTAAAGCTTTACACTGCGACATATTTCACAATGGGAGTTGTGCAGGTTGTAGTCATATTGATGGTATGACAGTGACTCAAAGTCTGTACTAGAGGTCCAGTGAGATAGATGTACATACACTAATTATGTATTTAGGCACTTTGAGTGGTGCTGCAGATATTCAAATAGATAATAATGTATAGATAAATATTACAAATCCTAATTGTTTTTATATATCAATAGGCTGCCATTCAAACAGGAAGATTACTGTCTTTAGGAGTTTGTGCGTCACCTTTATGTCAGTTACAGGGTGGAGATACGTTGTGTGTAATTTGTTTGTCTTTTCGGTGATGAGGAACTGTTCTCCGCCATTAGGCTGACTCACCTGTCAGTAGTCAGTCAGCAAGTATGCTCATCTATCAGTCTGCTCATGACGGCAAAGGGTGGGAGAGTTACTTCAAAGCCTTTGGTGTTTTCATCAAGGCCTAGTGTTTTCATCAAGAAAGAATAAAAAGAAAAGCACATCGAAGAGTAAATAACCAGCTCTTTTCCAAGTGAACAGATTAAAGTGAAACTCTACCCAAAATCTATCTTTGTGTATCAAAAGGCATGAAAGGTGGCAGTATAAAAAATGGTTGTGTTCTTCTTTCTTGAATTAGAAAAGTTGTGGACAGCTTGATTTCTTTCAGTTACAATAGATTGCAAAGGCAACATATTCACATAAAGGAATAAAGTATCAAAACATCCAATAAAAACTTCTCAAACTACCTCTGAAGGGTAACCTGTTTCTTTGTTGTCCACCTTCATATTTAGTATGTTCTAAACATTCCCCCCTTTTGCCAAAATATGGTCCAATACGCTGCTTTAATGATGTGCTATCAGACTTCTCAAAGCTTCGAAACTCACCCAGAAGTAGCATATTTGGCTAAAGTTGGTTGAAAACACGCTGTTAATGCAGGTGGACAGTGCAGCAGTGGATTATGCTCCGGCTTTTGGTTCATGAATTCAAGGTGCTTATGTTCTCCACCATGGCCACCTTTTGAAACTTAAAATGGAACGTTTTGGAAACTGAAAGGATACATTATACTTTGTGTTACATTAGAAATAAAGTCAGGAAATCAAATAGATAAAAATGTAAATGTGTTTTGCTCAGAAGAACTTGGATTGGAAATTGTACAGTGCCTTATGAAGCCTAACACTGATTATATGGGAAGATTTAAGACCTATGCTTCACTCCATTAATGATCTCCCCAACTGAATTGAGTTTTTCCCGTCTCAGAGTTCTGTTTGGATGTATGAAAAATGCCTTCATCATCTGCCTCTGCCCGTCTACACTGATAGCGGATATTGAATTGGCTGCTGGGCACTAGCTAACCCCCGCTGTGAGAGATCAATTGAAAGGGACAACCACAAACTGCTTGTGACCAACATCCACCAAAGCATTTTGCCCAATTTAAGCATTTCTTACTATTCTTGCTGCATCTCAAACACACAGCAGCCTATGAAATCATGTTGTTGTTTTTTAAATAATTTCTCTACACCTTTTTGATGAAATGAGAGAGATGGACAGAGATTTCAGATATTCCATGCAACTATCTACTAATAGATTAGATATTGTAAATGACAAACCTTTTAGAAAAAGTAACATTTTTCAAGACGAAGATTATAATTATGAAAATAACATAATGTGGAGTGAATGTCATTGGTTATATAATGTGTAATTTAGCAAAAATATTAAAGATTAATCTCAAAACGTTTGAACCACAGTTTGAAAAATTGGGTTAAATGGTAATAATTAAGTATTCACATTGCACACAAATACTATTTTTAAAAGATCTGGTATTTGACCTATTGAGTGCTGTCAAGACTGTATTTATTTTCAGCCTGACAGGCTGAGTGCACACTCAAACTCACACACACAAAAACACACTTGTGTGAGCATGCTTAGTCTACAGAAAAATCCCACAACTTGGTGAGGATTTCTCATTCTCCCGCCCGTTCTTTTTTTTCCCCTCAGCCAGATTGCAGTGTCATCCTGCTCCGTTTTTTTCCATGCCTGTGTTCACCTACATTTGTAACTTAAGGCCTTTCTACCCTGCCCCTCTATTTTAAGACAGGGAGGGCAGTGTGCCGAGAGGGACAGAGAGAGACAGGCTGTTGGGGGCTGCACCGTGCACAGCACGGCCGACACGCACAGGACCGAGGACAGTTTGCAAGACGACACTGGCTGGCTTGTTTACGGCAGAGGCTCCGTTTGGGGGAGGAAGGGCAGGAGGCAGGAAAGCTGGCAGGCAGGAAAGAAAGGAGTGGGGGTTTACTACCCTCAAGAGAGTCGGAATTCCTCCTGAGCCATTCCCCCATTTGGCTGGCAGTTGTGAAAACAATTGCCTGGCATTTACTCTCTCTCTGTGCAGATGGAGTCCTAGCTATGAGTCAGCTTTGAGAGCAGCAAGTGGTGGAGAAAGTGGTGGGCTTGTGATCTCAGCACAGCGAATATAAGCATACTTTACAGAGACACTTGGTTTTTGATGTTGGGCAAACGGTTCAGAGTTGCTTCTTCGCATACATTTCATTTCGTTCTCTGCGATATTTCTGAAATGCATACATTTTATCTCCAGTGTTTGCCTGCTCCTTGTGACAAGTTGAATAATAAAGCCATTTCTCTTTCCTGTTTCTCCAGAGTTGACCTACAGAAGAAGTTACGCTGATGTCTTGAGCTGAGGGAGACTTCATCCTCTACCTGTCACTCGTCTCCGTTTGTTATTCCACACCTGGTCTGCTCTCCATCAGTCACCGAGCTCCAACTGCAACCACCGCCACTTCCACCTGTTCCCCATCCCCCCCCTCCTGCCCAGCCTGCCGTCACCATGACGTCGGAGCTGGAGAGCAGTCTGACCTCCATGGATTGGCTTCCTCAGCTGACCATGCAGGCGGCCATCCGCAAGGCGGACGCCCAGAATGCCCACGGGCCAGGCATGGGCAAGAAGAGTGCCCTACTGGATCCTAACACAACGTTGGACCAGGAAGAGGTGCAGCAGCACAAAGACGGCAAACCGCCCTACAGCTACGCCAGCCTCATCACGTTTGCCATCAACAGCTCGCCAAAGAAGAAGATGACACTGAGTGAGATCTACCAGTGGATCTGTGATAACTTTCCCTACTACCGGGAGGCGGGCAGTGGCTGGAAGGTGAGAAGAAGGCACAACTGGCCTTTGTTTTAAGCCAGTGTAGCAGACGCTACACACAAAGTGTGTTACCATCATGAAAATGATGATGATAGAGTTTCGTTCTGGTTATAGTCAGGCTTCTGATTTTAAGAGAGTCTCTGATTTTACGTCATATCGAATATAATGCATTATTTTAGTGCTGTTGAAAGTTGAAATTGGATGTCTGTTTGGTTATGGCTGTGGACATAGAGTAACTTAAATCAGTGTATTCCCTAATGGAAATTCTTGTTTGACCATAGAGTTTATAGTCAGCTGTGGACAGCATTTGTGGAAAAGTTGAAATTGATATTCCTTGACTTAAATCATTGTTTTGTGGTGGCTGGGCATTTTAAACAAAGCGAGATGCCATTGGTAATCACAATTGTCACTTCTGAGAAAGCTTAGAGAGAAACTATGAGTGTGCCAAATCACACTAAGTGCCTTACTCCACCGAATGAAAAATGGTGCAGCCCTGAGAGAACCATATGAAGTGTAAAACCCTGGATTAATATTCAGAGAAGTGGCCCCTATCTGTGCGAACACAGACTAAATAGCCCATTCATGGGTGGTATTATTCATTGCAGATGCCTTGATAGGAGAAGGCCATTATGCAGAAGGAGAGAGCCAGTGCTGTGTCATCATCTCAAGGAGCCCATGATATACCGAGATGAAGCTATGCTGATTGCCTTTTAAAGGGCCCAGATGGAAATTGATATTAGAATGAGTTTTCCAATCAGTCGACGTTTATTGGAAATAGAATCTTAGGCACTGCTTTATTGCAGTCAGACAAGATGTATGAAGCCCATTTCCTGCGGCGACAAGATCTGGCGTGTGCACAGGCTGCATGGAGGTGTGTGTGTGTGTGTGTGTGTGTGTGTATATGTGTGTAGGTGAGGGGGAGATGAGAAAGCATGTGTTATTGTAAATGGATTGATTTTTAGCTTTTGTGGCAAGGCCTTTTGTGAGGAAATGAATTGTTTTATTTTGCAACCTTTGTTTCCTCTTTTACCTTCATCATCCCTTATTTAGTTGTCAGCAGCACATGTGCTGTCAGTCTGCGTGTGTTCCTGCGTTGAGTTACAGCCATTTTCATTCGACACGGAGGTCAGCACTGCATTTTGTATACCGCCTACCTTATTTGGCATTGAATTTAACCATTCATTGCACACTAAAGATCTGTCTCTCCAGACATGGTTACAAGGTTGCAGCAGTATTTTCCATTATCTTTTTTTTTTCTGCGTTAAGGTTGTTAAAATCCGGTTGCAGCCCTTTTTTTCTGTATCCATTTAGAGCCTTTATACTGTTAATATTTCTATGCGACTAGAAAGCAACTATGAGTAAATCATCATTCAGGTAGGTCTAAATAGACTTATGGACATCCACAGACAGAGTATTGCTTGGAAATACAGTATGAGGGTATGACTGACTTGCCCAACTAAAATAACTGTAGATAAGAGACAACATTTAGTCAACACTTGCATACACTTTTTATACATTTTAGAGTGGGTGGCCTCAGTGGGAATCAAATTGGTACTGTTGGCAGGGTTGAAGCTTTGCTCTACCCACCGAGTTACAGTCCCACTGTAGACACAGCAGGAAGGACGTCATGATATCAATTCACCCAAGTATGGCTATTGTGTGTGGCTTTATCTTAAGTGTGGATTTAAGGATGGTCAGGAAACACTGACCACCATATATATAATGTTTTTTTTAATGCTTAAAAATGATAAATAGTATTCAAGATTTGGAAATGTTTTTGAATCCTAATTGATACCAGGTTTTTCAAATTTTCAAAAGTTATCTATATATCTGACATAGATCTATATCTAGAGCTATTTTTGAAAATGTGGCTAAAATGCAGCTGCTGTACTACATTTTTTGGATTTTTCTCTGTGCAAACGTCTGACTGCAACCTATTTGGTAGCTAACCAGCGAATGGATTCAATCCTCTTTGGGATTAACTGACCAAGGCAAATTTCCAATATTGGAAGTAAGCATGCAATTTCAAGCAATGTGAGATCATGGAAGATGTTTTCTTTAAATTCACAACATTACCCAGCAAAGCATTTTATCCAGGGTGGTAAGTTTTAGTTCACAGCAAAAACAATTTAAATGTTTCGTATTCGTAAAGGTTGCATCATCTGTAATATTACAGTACAGTTTTTGGTATGAGGTGGTTGTGGAAAGGGTTTGTGAATTATTAAACATTATTTCACTAGGATAATTCACTCAGTATCAACACTACTTTCCAGTGAGTCCAAAGTACATAATGCATAGTATTCAATATATTTATCCATTAATTACTTCTGTCAAGGCTGCAATGTGTTTTTTTTTATAGATGAAATTTGGTGGACCGACAAGCCTTGGAATAAAGAACAATTGATTACAGATTTCTTGCCATTTCTACCATTAAATTGTTGTTGTTTTGTATCCACAGAGATGAAACTAACATAATTATATAATGCTGAAATGGAAAGGGTTTCTTTTCAGTGTCAGGTGTAATACAGATTTGACGTAACCGGAATGATGTCTTGGCTACAAGCACAAGTTATAGAATTAGTCAGCGTTGGTGGAGACTGACGCTCTTCAAGTACTTTCTAGTTTAGTAAAGCCTTACGTAGATAACAGATTCTGTCCTAAATGTGGGCTGCAACTGTAGAAATACCCCTCACATTTAAAAGTGTGAAAACCACATCACTCTAACCAGGATGCTGTACAGCACAGGAAACACTGAAAAAAGCGGTTTGGCGCTAGAGCCTGCGTCACAATCTTTTTCTCAGTTCTTGTTAATACGGTGTTTTCCCTGCCGTAGTTTTTTTCTGAGAATCTATACAACAAAAATAAATTGTATAGAGTATATATAAAATCATTTCATTTAATAAGACATGAATGAATCCAATAATGCTGTTTCTATGCCTGGGGCATTTGAATGAGCTCCAGTAGCCTTAGGTTTGTTCCTAATGTTTTTGTTCTTGAAGAATTTTCACAACCCATCACACAAATGATATTTTCATCTAAGCCTGTGCAGAAACCTGGGACAAGTTTCTCTCCCAATCATCAGGGGCTTGTACAGTCATTGGGGTTTTTTTGACGATAAAACCCTCAAAGTTGGGCATATACACCTAATTATAATTGTATATTTCTCTAATATGCATGCAGTAGTAATGTTTTCCCTGCATTGTGACTATGATCCACCTATAGTGTGACTGAGTATGCATGCTTGTGTGTGTAATTAGTTGGAAGCAAGCATGCCTGGGTGGGGTGAATGTAGGTCGGATGTAGTCATCGCTCCTCTGTTCCCCTGGAGATGTCAGTTGCAGGAATTTGGGACTCAACGCACGCATGCGTCTGTTCTGTATGATAATGCAAGCTGTGCCGGCGAGATGAGACCAGGCTAATCTGGGCACCAGCAACTCATTTAGTCATCTCAATAGAACTCCATTAGCCTGCGCTTTTAAGAAATATCAATAAGTGCTGTCAATGAAAACAGATAATTCATCAAGGTCAAAAAATGTGAACGCTGCCTTCGAGAGTGCAGAATATGTGCGTGGCATCTATGAGCAAGCCATTAGATGGTGCCTTTCTTAACACCCTCTCCAGCTCTCTGAGGTATTCATATTTTGCAGGTTTGTCTAAGCAGTCTTAACTACGATTCAGCTCGCTTATGTGTCCTTCTTTTCTTTGAAGGGCTGCCAGTTTCCTTAAAGATATTATTTCGCATACTAGGATTCCTAAAAACATGTTTCCAAGAAGAGCATAGACGTTTGCTTGCAGCTCTTTGGTATGATGCAGTATACTGTTTATATGGGTTCCTGATGTCTCCTTGGTCACAATTCATGTCTGTTGCCTATTTTAAAGCCATCACGGCCATTATAAGCTGGCCCAGATGACTCCACTGAGATTAAAAGGTAAATTGGAACCTCCCCCCCCCCCCCTTCAAGGACAGAAGAACACATCTTTCTTCATGTCTTGAGAGCTTTGAGACATTTAATACTTTGAATAGTTTCTGTATTTAAGAATCCTTTGGAATTTGGTATTGAACCTTTTTTATAAAGAGACCATTTTTAAATGTGGATTCTTTGTACGATCAGTACACGAATCAATGGAATAGTAGCTGAATTTAGTTTTCCAGTCTGGTGTCGCATCTTCTCAAATATGCTCTGTCTCTTCACGGATGCTGTCTTGCGTGTCATGAATGGCGAATCAGCGTTCTCTCACTTTCGCTACAACTGTTTGTGGGGCAATTGTTGCATACATGATTTGCAAACTTGTGGCTTGATGACACTTCAAGAAGACAGCTGCAAGGGAGGGGTATTCCCCTAGTCAACCTCTACCTGCATACATCATGATGGGCAGTCTGGTAGAAGACTTGTGGAATGATCTGAACAAACCATATAGGCTAAGATTTACATTAGTGTAAGTGTCTGTATTATTTGTTGAAAACATTAAATCACAAAATCTGGTGTAAGGTTAACTACCCATATCAGAATGGTTATCTTAAGATACCTGCTTAAAGATTATTAAAACCTTTTACTTCTTACTTTACTACCACTTCTTCTCATGAGAAGGATACAGTGGCATTCCTAACTTATTACATAATAAGTGATTGAGTGTTTGAAACTTGGATTGTAACTTGCCAAAGAATATGTGAAACCCATGTGTGATTTATTAGATTAAACTATTAAGATATGTCATACAGTCACTGTTAACAGAGTATTATATATAAGAATATTTATATGAAGGTTATACTTTTCTTTCACATATTTAGATGTTGACTTCATTGGTATTTCCAAATAAATGTATTGAATTCAAATGTACAACAATATTTAAGCTCTTATGTGTTACTACAATAACATTTTTATACTTTAAGCAAACAGACCTCCTAATTTATTAGAATGGATTTCTTAACTGTATGCAGTCCTTCTCCCAGCTCCAGCTCTGATCAGACTGTCAGAAAATATGAGACTGTGTGCTCACCTCAG